TTTGTCAATTTTGCTACAAATTCTTCACAAATAAGGCTGAGTATGTCCACAGTCAACCAAACTTTTCTTTATTTTGCTTCTATATTCAGTACAATTCTACTCTATTTATTTTTTTCTATAAAAATGGGGGCCATACTACTCTATGATTATACAACTTTTATGCATGCAACTTTTATGCATGCATCGCATTAGGCAATTTTTATGCATGCCAAGTCGCACTATGCAATTTTTATGCAAAGCAATATTAGAAGCAAGCTGTTAAAAAGCATTCGTCACAATGATTTTTAAGGAAAAAAAAAAAACATGAGTTATGGCCTATGGTTAAAACTTTCTATCCCACATCGACAAAAAAGTATGTGCTACATTCTGTTATATATGGGAATATTCAAATAGTTAATTGCGGTGTAAGGAGGGTCTACTGGTATTTAAGGCTGTCAAGCTCAATATCAAAGGCATTCCTTACACCGACCTTTTTGACAAAATTTAGTTTATATCCCACATCGGATAGAAATAGAAAAGAAATGCGGTTAATATATGCGTAGTCCACTACATTTGGTTGCCAATAAGGGAGTATCAATGGAAGAGGAAAGTCTCCAAAGTCAACAAATAGGAAACTTCACAGCCACTGTTACTCGCTTTCTTGGCTTCTTATCATTTTTGAATCCTCGGCCTCATGGTAAGTTGTTTAAGAAAAAATATAAACAAACTTCCCCTCAGGCTCAGCGCCGGGGAGTAGTTCATTCGCTTCGGATCCTAAGTGTCCGGCTCGGCAAAACCTCCCCTCAGGTTCAGCGCCGGAGAGTAGTTCATTCGCCTCAAACCCTAAGTGTCCGACACGGCAAAAATCTCGCCTCGGATCCTAAATGCCCGGCTCGGCAAAACCTCCCCTCAGGCTCAGCGCTGGGGAGTAGTTCATTCGCCTCGAACCCTAAGTGTCCGGCTCCGCAAAAATCTCGCCTCGGACCCTAAGTGTTCGGCTCGGCAAAAATCCCACCTCGGACCCTAAGTGTCTGGCTCGGCAAAACCTCCCCTCAGGCTCCGCGCCAGGGAGTATTTAATTCGCCTCGGATCTAAGTGTCCGAGACAGCTTTGGACCCTAAGTGTCCTATTCAGCAATATTCCTCCACGACTCAGTGCCGAGGAACAATTCGCCTCGGATCTTAAGTGTCCGAGACAGCTTCGGACCCTAAGTGTCCTATTCAGCAATATTCCTCCACGACTCAGTGCCGAGGAACAATTCGCCTCGGATCCTAAGTGTCCGAGACAGCTTCGGACCCTAAGTGTCCTATTCAGCAATATTCTTCCACACTCAGTGCCGAGGAACAATTCGCTCTAGACCTCTGGTGGCCGGATCAGACTCCAAGTGTTTAATACCCTGTGGATGTGGATATATCATAAGTTCATCATGATCCACCCCACATCAGGAACACACGAGAAAGAAAGAGTATGTATACGTCTACTGCAGGCAAGTCAAAGGCAAGAAGAATTCACTTAACAGTTAGATCATTGTCCATATGAATCATCCTGAGATATCAATTAAACTATTAAAAGGATCTCCTTCTTCCCATCGTCCTTGCTTTTTCTTGGATAGCATAAATCCGAAGCATAAAGACAATGTGTTTTGCTTGTCATAAAAACATTACCAGTCAGAAAAGTATGAACAATATCAAGAGCATACAGTAAAAACAAATCAGGTATTGAAAGCCTAAAACAAAAATTATATTTATTATCCCAAACATACTGTCAATAAAAACAAAATACATGGTTCTACTTCCTCTTCGGATCAAAGGGAGTAGATTCAAAAGCATCCACTACAGTAGGACTTGGGGTAGGAGGAATTGAAGCCGCATGGGCAGAAGAGCTAGGAGTACCCTTCAGGTGCGCCTTCACCATCTCGACAAAGCGGATTTCAGTTTCCAAAGCCTGTGGCCCTTCATCATATGGGAAGTGCACCCCCACCTGCTTGTCAAAAGCGTCCGGATCCATCGTCCTAGGGCCTGAGCCCTGATTATAGTCAGACCGGAACGCTTTAGCACTAGCCAGGTGTGCCAGACAGGAGTAGCGCCCCTGCATTTGCTTCCCTGCCTTGAAGCAAGTAGTAAGAGCCTCGGTCAGGCGTTGAATTTCGGCCTGAAGAGAATCCACCTTAGCCTCAGAGGCAGCCAACTGCCTCTTATACACATCCTTGACTTCAGTAGCTATCTTCAGATTGGTAGAGGCAGTGGTGGCTCTCTTCTCTGCATTGTCAAGATCCTTTTCTAGCTTCTTGATGGAAAGGGATTGGGCTTTAGCAGTGGCGCAGAGGGCCATGGTGTGGTATAGACTCTGTATAACAGAGGAACAAATATGAGCATAAATGGAAACATAAGTAAGCAAGAGTAACATAATTCTGAAGGAGCAATGCGAACCTCTATGGCCCGGACCGGGGCAGAGGGGAGTAGTTGTTCCAACCCTATTTGGCTGATGGCTTCCTCGTCTTTTGGGAGCCACATCCTTCGGGCCACAGCCAGTGCAGCTGAAGGGTCTGTGATCACAGAATCTCCTGAATACAGGACTGACTTGTCAGCCCTGGTGAAGGAAGGAGTCCAAGGAGCCCCAGTTTCAGCCAGAACAAATGCCCTGACTTCATCTTCAGGTTCGGCCTCTCCAGCCTTTTTCCCTCTGTTTTTAGAAGGGACCTTGCCCTTGCCAGAGGATGGGGGTTGAAGCAAGATTTCTTCATTGGTGGTTCCTCAGCCTCCACCTCACCCTCAGTAGATCTAATAACGACCAAGGGTTGGGCATCTTCGGCTTTCTTTTTTAAAGCCTCAGCCCTCCGTATCTCCTCCTCAGTCATGGGGAAACTATCAAAGGATGGTAGAGACAGATCCATGAGGTCTGCAGCAACAGCACTGGAGGCAATATCCTTGAGGTTTGAAGAAGTTAGCAGGTCCTCGATAGGCGAGGGGTCACTCTAGACTCGTTCCTCAAGAAAAGAAAGTCTGTTCCTTGCTGCGGATGATGGGAATGTAGCTGAAAAAACACCAAGAAACTCATAAGTACGGCGAAACATTAAGATTTGGCAAGGAAAATAGCCAGAACACTTGGTATGAAGGGAGGTTAAGTATTCTATACCTAATTTCCCGAACTTGCGCGGGATGGGGAACGTAATTGATTGGGGCACGAACCATTTTCCTTTAACTATAACCATCCTTTCTTTCCACTTCTTCTCGGATGAAGGAAGGTTCGTGTATATCCTCTGATGAAGGGGAGAGGTAAAAAAGAAGCGACCAGGCTCGGTCCCATGCTTAGATATATTGTAAGTAAGCAGAAGGTCGGCAAAGGTCAAATCCAGAGCCTCTAATTTCCGGCGCACCAACAATGCCGAAAGGATGCGAAAGAAATTAGGATTTACCTGAAGGGGGGCAAGACCTAACTTGTTGAAAACTAAATGATAGAAGGGGTGAAGAGGGAACCGGAGGGCGCTAAGATGCCCTACCGAAAGAAGCAACTCACTCTCTTCAATTCCCTCGCCGGAGGTAAAATCGGCACCCTCGGGATATTCTACAATTTCTACTCCCTCAGGAATATCAAATTCTTCCATTACCGAAGCAATAGAGAACTTGATACGGCGAATAGAGATGATTGCTTTCCTCTCTTCATGAGTAAGAACATTATCAGAGCCTAAGGTGGATGTCTCGGCTGGAAGGGGGGAAGTACCTAATTGATTCAACGAAAGACGATCTGTAGAAACCCTAGGAAGGGGAGCCCTAATGCGAACGGGGGAAGATGAAGGTGTGGATTCAGAATCCCCAATGTCTATACGTTCGGGAGTAGATGAAGTACTCATAATGAAAGATTGAAGAGAAAGATGCGAAAAAAAACTAACCTGACAAGGCGATGGAATGAAAAACGCAGGAGTGCAGCTAGGGCGAATATAACTCTTGCAGAATCTTGTACGACGGAGTAATAATGAAAGTCCTCGAATCGTCTCTGAAGCAAAGTAAAAAACCGGTTTCAATTCCCTCTTTAATGGGAGCCGTCACTCAATAAAAAATGAAATTTGGGGCAAAGTGTGGAGGGAAAAAAGACGCCCTCCAATAAGAAGCGTACACGTCATCACCACACATATCTACATTCCAAGGACGTATAAGGCCCGTCATGCTCAAGCCCAAATTGAGTGTATTTTTAGCCCAAGACCATTGTTATTTGTCTTCCAACCTCCATCAAGGCCGAATCAAGAGGTCATTAGCCCAACTTGTTAATATTTAACATCCGGTCCGTGACTCAAGCCCAGCCGGATCAAAATATGTTCAGCCCAGTTATTCAAGAATGCACAAGTCCTACCAGTTGAAGGATTTACCGTGGAAGGAAAATTCTAAGATAGGAAGTTCTGTACAAGGCAAGTTCTATGTATGGAAAATTAGACAATGGAAAGAACTCCATTAGTAAAGAATGTTTATATAGAAAGAATTGAAGGACAAGTAACGCGAGTCCTACCATAATTTTACAATCTTTTGTATATAAATAGAGGCTTAGACCTCCAATAAAGGGATTAAGCAATTCTACGCTTCGACATATATTGTTCTTGTTTATTTTTACTATTGACTGAGTAAGTTATTTTATTTTTCTTAATCATTATTGGTTGAGCGAAATTTTGCACCTACAATGTTATATAAGACTTTTATCAGCAATATATTCTTTTAGAATTGTCACCTAAAATAATCCAATTTAATTTTAAATTATAGATACATCCATAAAACATCTAGTCTATTTAATTTCTAGATTAAAGTAGAATATTTTCGTTTTAAAAAAATGTGATAATACATTTGCCCTTTACTTTTACACTTTAATACAAGTCATTAAAGACAATTATAGCATTTTCTTAAAAACAATTAACATTAAAAAAATAAAATGGGGAATATAATTTTCTTAAAATTTTCTCCCTATTATTTTGAAATTACGAAAATACCTTCAAATAAAGCTCTCAGGGCATCATGCAAAGCTTGGATTCAACAGATCTGCATTTAAACCATATATTGAATATTAAATCCATTGGCGTCAACTGCAACTGAAATGCCCAAGTTGCGAGTTTATAACTCCGGAATAATTGTGAGCTGTGACTTTCTTTCAATCTAAAGAGAGAAAACAATCTGAATTTAGAGAGAGACGGAGGAGGGGGAGGTGGGGGACCAAATGATTCCTGTGGGCGGTCCATCTTGTTAAAACCCTAAATTCTGGTAACGAAACACTGTTGAAGATTCGAGTGAAGATCGATAATGGCGGAGATGAGAAACGAAGCTAGTAGTAGCAACAGCAGTGGAAACAGCAGAGGCGAAAGCGTCGTAATTGATGTTGGCCGGCGAAGAAGCTCGTGTGGTTATTGTAAATCCGGTGGCCGTACCAGTATATCTCACGGTCGGTGTTTCAATTCTCTGTTATATATGCATGGAATTCATATATATGCGTAATCATAATAATTGTTGTTTAATTTATCGATGATATAGGTATGGAGGTAGATGAAGTATAATTTGAATATCCAATGAGCTTCGATGTTGTTTGATGGATTGAATTTCATAGCTTTGTTTATTCATTTTAACGATTTGATTGTTCTGTCAACTGTTGATGGAGAATTTGAATATCTAATGAGCTTCGCTGTTCAATATAACGATTTTGATGGTTCCGTCAACTGTTGATAGAGAGGACGTCAATTTTTTGTGCCTTCACAATGAAATTGTTCACTTTTACATGTTGTAACGGAATTTACTTTATTTGAAAGACAATAAAGTGATATATATGAACTTGGACTACAAATGGAAGTTATCGCTTTCAATGCATTGATAGAGCTATTTTTTTACTCTTTTTTAATTCTAGTCTTTATGAGATTTTGAATTATACACATATTTTTCATCCTTGATTCATCAAAAGAAGCATTCAATCTTCAATTACAAGATATTGGTGCATAAGGATGATCCATTTGCTTTTATATTTATAAGACTATTGTTCATCATTAAGCCTTTTTTTTTTTTTTTTAAAGTGAGAACATAAGCAACTCTTCAACTGTTACTGTAGTCGACAATTCTTTCCCTTCACTGCCACAGTAGCTTCTTTAGTTTTATCCCTCAAAAACCCCAGTTTGATTGTGATTTCTTAATGCTCTGAATTTGCAATCTTCATGGGCAGATTTTAGAAGATTACAGAACTAATGACATTTGCATCATGAACGTGTCAGCTATGATTTTCATTTCTTTTATGTTTTTTTTTTTTTTTGAAGTTAAACATTTGAATAATATCCATGATACAAGTTCGTTAATTAATTATGTGTTAGCCTTTAGACATTCCCCAGCTTGATGCACCAAAATGCATGGTAGGTCGTTGTGATTGGCATTTGTTGTAGAAAATTTCGATGATTACACTAATTCTTTAACATTTTTGTCCAGAAATGTTTCATGTGTTTGAAATGGTTGCATGAGATTTCTTTACTTTTTCTTGGAAATAATAAATTTTAACAAGCATGGCTTTCTTAATCTCAGATATGTTTATGACTCTTTTTTTCCTCACTGATTAACTTCTGAATCAATTTATTATTATTCCTAAATCTGTGAGGGACATGTGAGAATATGCAAAGAAAAAGGCAAGCCCAGTGCACGAGGCCCTTTCCAATGCAGGATCTGGGAAGGATTTGATTTACGCAGCCTTACCTCCATATGCAAGTCTTACCAAAATCATATTTCCTTCTCATGCCATACTGCACCATTGTGCCTATCACAGGGAATTAAAATTACCAAGATTGTAAAAGTTTCTCTCATAGACAAATTCCACTCATGGACATACAATTCATACAAAATGATAAGAAAACGGAAAAATTTATGTCCTTGTGTAAAGGTTTAAATAACATGGTAAATGTTTTAGCTGTTGGGGTACTATTTAATAACTAAATTAGATGTTATTTTGGGTAGGTAATCAAAATTTTTAAACACAACTAAAAAAAATCAGTTCATTTAATGCCCGATTTGTGATTGTTCATTAAGCAAACAAGCCGAGCTCGAGCTCGATTATTAAATGAGCTGAGATAGGACAATGTTCGACTCGGCTCAGCTTGTATAGGCTCGTGAAGGCTAGACGCATATAGGCTTGTGCAGACACGCCTCATGAACTCGTCTTATAGGTTTTTTAATAATGTAATTTTGACAAGTTTCATACATAATTATTGATAAAAAAGTGATTAGATATACTAAAACGTTAAAGTTTTCAAAATTATGATAAGAAATAAACATATATATGTTTCATGAGCTCACGAGTCAATTGGAGTCTACTTGCAAACAACTCATCTGAGTTGGAGCTCAACTTTATGAACTCATCAGAAGCTGGCCCAAGTTAAGCCCATGAATAAGCGACCCGAGTCTGAACAATCTCGAGCTAAGCTTTGCTTCATTCATTTGCAGCCCTACTGAAAATTATACCCCACATGATAGGTTTTTTGTAGTTTTTTATTCTGAGATTCTCGTCTTTGATTTTGCAGGTTTATGGGCAGACAGTCTGACAGTAGATGACTATCAAGGTAGGTATTTTTTTGTTTCTCACTTTATTTTGTTATTCAGCACCTGTTCTACTTAAGCCTGCGTGCACATACACACACACACAATCAATAATTGGAAGGCAATATGGCTTGTTTGTGTTACTTCAATGCCATGCAAAGGGTAGACCAACTCTTGTCATTCACAAGAACAGGTCTCCGTAAGCTACGGTATTATAAATCCCCCCACCATCCCATCTCCACAACCCCAGTTCCCCTTCTCCTATCCCTCCTCCTTCTCTCTGTGGTGCACCATTGTTAGTGCTATGTACATCTACCTTCATGTTACAAGTTAATCAGACTGAACCCCCCTTCTGCCACACAGAGTCCGTAATTACAACTCTCATTATGTTGACAACTACTAATATTTAGATCCATTTGATATTTCACAAAATTTAGAACACATGCAATTTAGTTTGGATTAGCTGAACCATTGGGGAGAAATGCAGCATGTTAAATCTGGAACTCAGGTGATTGTATTTAAGTTATCCATGCTATACTTGCATTTGCGTGCAGGTAGCTTTTCTTTCTTTTGTGGTTTCAGCCTCAAAGTCATGCTTTTTGTTTCTTTGTTACTTTTATTACTTCTATTGTGGGAATTTGTCATTTTACTTCTACCTCTCAACTTCTGTTTACTGTTAGTTGTTTTAAAAGCCTTTGCCCTTCAACTTTGATAGGATAAATGCTGATTAATATTTTTTAGCACCTTTGCTAGCTCTTTCCTTTTTTTGGCTGCCCTATGCTTTGCTGTTGCTCTTTTTGACACTAATCCCCCTAACAAAAAAAGACTTCGCTGTAGCTCTTCTTGACAGAGGTTGGAGAAGATCTGGTTCTTTCCTTTACAAACCTGAGATGGAAAGAACATGCTGCCCTTCTTATACTATTCGTCTGAAGGCCAGTGATTTCATTCCTTCCAAAGAGCAACTTCGAGTGGCTAAACGAATGCAAAGGTATTTTCATATTACCATCTTTAATTTTTTCATGGCGGTGTTGAAGATGTTGTATTTCTTTTTTCTTTTTTAAATGCATTCAAGTAAAATCTGATTTACCTGAATACTTACTGGCATTGTGGATCTATCATCATCATCATCCTTGCCTTCATCGCATATTTGTGGATGCCTAATAGAGATAAAAATGATTAAAACCAATAAAACGTTAGGGGTTCTAAACTTGGGGATATCCTGTGCAGAAAGATACTTGGTCTTATGGTTGTATTCAATGCATTTGTCAAATTTTATTTTATATTCTTATCTTTCAACAGAATCTTCGGAAGGTTGCGATTTTCTTGAACCGTTGTCTTATTTTCCTTTTAGAAAATAAAATTATTTGGAGGTTGAGTGGATTGCAGAATAGTTAATACCACTCTCCTTTGTGCATTGACCAATTTGATTATTCCAGATATTCTTAAATTCTCTATATACCCCAGCTTTCTTGAGAAGAAATTAAACTGGAATTATTGACAGCAGCAATGTATAACCTATAGGTTTCTAGATGGCACATTGGATGCTAAAAAACAAGATGAGATCACATCCGAGGCAGGTAATTTTAAGGGTTCATGCAGCCACTCCGTTAATGAAATTAAAAGCTCTGCGGCGGGGGAAGCCTTGGTGTGTAACGCTGAAGAAAAGAAGAAAGCTGAACAATTTATGCATTATTTGTCAAACCAGATCAATAATGCAGTACGTGCATGCATTGGAAATGGGGAGTTCCCTTGTGATATTCAATTACCAAAAGCATCTGTCAAAAGAGTTTCACAAGCCAAGAGGAAGCGGCTAGTTGAAGGATCAGAAGTTCTCTTGTACTCCAGCAATGTTTCATTCCAGATTGCCGCTGTTTTAAGGCAGGTTGAGAAGGATGTGCACCATCCAGAACTGTCAAGACGTATTGTGGGAGAAAATGATGAGTCTCTTGAACTGACCCCGAAAATGATTGCGGAAAAACTGGCATATTCTTTAAATCAGCTGGCAGAAACCTCTGATTTGTCAATCAAAGCTTGCAATGGACACATTAACTTCTATTCTGCGATAAAACAAGCTTGTTTAGATGAAGAGGTTAACAAATTTACAGTTTCTAAAGAGTCTCCCACAGGAAATGGAAGTAAAAGGAGTTGCTTGAAGATATGCGAACGTCCTCAGGTAAAGAGACAAAAGATTGAGATCCTTTTGAAGAGGTCCAGTTTTGATCCAGAAGAATATGCGTTGTATAGGAGATACCAGCTTAAAGTGCACAATGATACACCAGATCATGTTACAGAAAGCTCATACAGGAGGTTTCTGGTTGATACTCCCTTAGTTTTTGTTCCTTCAACTGGCGATGGTACAGTTCCCCCATGTGGTTTTGGTTCTTTCCATCAGCAATATGTGATCGATGGCCGGCTAGTCGCAGTTGGTGTGATAGATATTCTCCCAAATTGTTTGTCGAGTAAATATCTATTCTGGGATCCAGACCTTGCTTTTTTGTCTCTAGGAAAGTATTCGGCCATACAAGAAGTAGAGTGGGTCAAAGAGAACCAAGTCCATTGTCCTAGCCTCCAGTATTATTATCTTGGCTATTACATTCATTCCTGCAGCAAAATGAGATATAAAGCAGCATATCGCCCATCTGAGCTTCTATGTCCTCTTCGTTACCAGTAAGTTCTTTTTCTGCATTAAGCAATTGACCAGCAAATTTCTGGGCCTATAACATTTACATAAATGCTAGAAAAGTGGTGAAATATATTTATTGTTTTATTTCTGATTCATATGGGAGATTTGGAGCATCTTGCATCTGAGTCACATATGCTTAGTCATTCATGCCAACACAAGATAGACCCCTCAAAAGGAATTGTCAATAGTAAAGGATATTAATGAATGGAGGATGTTGGACTCCAAAATCTGGAAATTTAATGTGTCAAATTATTGTAAGATTACTTTTATCTAAAGTAGCATGATAAGATAAGTCACCCTAACATATCGTTCTAATCTCCTATGATATAAATCTGAGATGGCCAGATGGGTGACATTTACATTGGCGGGGCATTGTATTTATGTAAGTTGAGTTGTATTATGCATTCATCCTAAATTCAGAGGTTTGTTTGTACTCTGGGGAGATCGACACATAATGCTCAGTCCTTAAAATGATGCATTGGATTACAGGCAGTGTCAAAATTTTCAATGAGTGATGGTCTCATGGATCAAGCCAACGAACTTGATATAGGTTTTGGATTGATTTAAACAAAAAGGGTATCCGTGCTTCACTTGTTCTTGAGTTGATCATGTTATTATGTGATATTCAATCCCAGACTAATCATTTATTACTTTGATCCAGTATTTGCTCTGCTACTTGTTGAGTAACTAAAGGTTGCAGGGTTCTACCAAATGGTCACGTTAAAGTGACATTCAAGGTTTTAGACGGGACCACTGTAGGCTTCATGCTCTTTTTATTCTTTTTCTGACAACTTAACTTCTCTCTTCAGGTGGATTCCATTTGATATCGCAAGGCCGTTGCTTGATAGAAAACCATATGTTGTGTTGTCTGATTCCTCACAAAATGTAGATTCCTCAGCACCTGACATTCTTGGAGAACATACGGACCAGCATGATGACCCTGGCATAGAAGACTCAAATGATGTTTTTATTGATGAAAACGAAGAAATGGCTGATACTGATTCTGAAGATTCTGACGATGAGTCAGGCCTAGAAACCAATGGTCTGACATCACCGGAAATAGAAGGTGGAGATGTCAGCAATATTTTGATTGGGTTGAAAGGATCCCGTCTGAGATATAAGGTACGTATAGTTACGTCGCTTTTAAAGTATATTTTATTCCATATGTTTGAATCCATAAAACTAGTCAGTATTCATTCTGTGTGGAATTTCAAAGAAGAAATATATATATGTGTTTATATATATACTGGTTGTATGTTGTATATGCTTTTCTCAATTCAAGTTTTTCTCTGCAATTGGTCTCATCCTTAAGCCATTGAATAGTCTTGATCATCCTGTCCTACATAAGATGTCTACGGGCTTTGGGTTGACAGATTCCACTACACAAAACAAGAAAATTAAGTTACCAGTGTTCGACACGGGATTATATTTGTGTAACCTGTCTGGAAGATCTGGTTCAACCTTTTCCATCCATTTTGATATATTGGTCTGTTTTTTACTCATCACTTCGTATTTCTTCTGAAGGGTCTACAGATTGCTATTGGTCCTCCTCAAAGGACCTACCTTGAAACCCAACTGCATAGATACATGAGGACTGTTGGTGTAGAGCTCTCTGAGCGAATGGTTTATTCACTGGGGTGATTCAACAACTATTTACAAGATTTTTCGGATCTCAACTACAAATAAGTATTCCTGCCTGATTCATGGCTAGCGATCTACAGAGCTGTTATGGAGTTATTATTTCTTGCGTATGTTTTTCCTTTTTATTGTTTGATCCGTGATCGAATACAGAAGTAAAGGCTCATCTTGTGGATTGTATGAATACCGGTCACCCTATAATGTACTTTCTTTGCCTGCCGATTGAAATGGTTCACCAAATTTGGTGTAAGTTAATATTTTGGACACAAACTTTGTTTTCCATTTTTTTTTTTTTTTTCATTAATGGATGTTGTATTGCAAAAGGACCAACTATTACAATACAAAAAGGAAGAGGGCATACCCTCTGTAAACAAAAGAAAAAATGCCTTTGAGACCGGGATTATAGTGCACGAACTCAAGTATACCGGTTCAACTGCTTAATCACGTATAATATGTGAAACTCAATGGCTTGGCTTGGCTTGGCTGACCGGGATTATAATGGCTTGGCTTGTCATTCAAAATATGTGAAACTCAATTTATATTCTTTATAGGGCTTCAATAATTTTAACTTTGATCTGTGACCGTAAGAAGTGATCTCTGCAGGTATAGCATATTTTCCGTGCCATGTCAATGCGTGATTAAAAGAGTAACTGGTCTGTGAATCGATCCTTAAATAAGATGATGTTTTTATGTGAAGTTTTTATCTTCCCAAGTTTGCAATGAATTCTCTGGTCACAACCTAACCAAAAGAAAGGAAAAAGATGAGCAAGTCAATTCTATGTAATGGTTCATGCTACAAACAGTTTATTCGGAAGCTTTCGCATTGTCAAATTTCTTAACTGACACGATTTGCTTATTAGTATTATTCCATCATAATCGTCCAGCTCTATAGACATTAATCATTGTTTGGTGCCTATTGTTTTCAGAATTAAATTACTTTTTCGGGTTGTTTGAAAATGTGCTTTTCTATTGCCCTCCATATGCTAACCAAATAAGTGGTTTATAAATGTTCACGCCTCATATGTATTTGTTTGATTGATGCAATAGAAGCATTATATGCACATGGCGTGACAAAGACCAAGCAAAACAGACAACAGGGCACACCTTGAGAGATGTTATAGATTTGTCTGATAAATCACTAAATTTGGATTGATGTAACATATTACAGAATTCAACCAATTCAGATAAGTTCAATTGATAGGAAAAAAAAGAAAAAAGAAGATAGGTTCAATTGATTAATAAATAAGAGAGAGAAAATCTGTCTATAATTTGAATATTATTTTGCACGAAGTGATTATTCTTAAAATCAACCCGCTCAAACATGTTAGTTTGAGCTATGGCCCTTATTTACAGCTTATTCACATGTCAATTTCCAATATGAAATCTAGCTAAAGTATCATCAATTTGTCTCTCAAAAGTTATATGGTTATCTACCATATGAAAAACGCAATTTCATGCAAAAAAACATGCTTGCATTCTGTTTTGATCAAGACAGTTATTAACTCGAACAATGAATGACAATGTTGAATGCTTATATTATGCAGACAGCAATGTAAGAGTTTTGGCACACATAGCAAACATATGGACTAATAACAACAGGGTACTGCTCAAAATAAGAGCCTCCTAACCCGAAGTGCATTCACTGTTAGAATTTTTAAATTTTTGAAGAGAGGTTCTGATTTAGCATAAATCAGTGTGAACAATGGAGTCTTTGATACATGTTATTCGGGCAGCGAAATCAAGCTTTGCTGAAATGAGAAATTACCAAATCAAGAATCCACAAGTTGAACAGGAACACTGGGGAAAGAATTTACAATTGGAATGAAGAAAGTTGGAAATGAAGAGTAAATCAAGCATCATCTGCATCACTTCCACTGACATGTGCTTCATGAGTGGCCCAGTAGTTGCTTCCATCTGGACCCGAGACCTTAAACCTACTCAATCAAAAAATCCAGATCTCAAACATCAAATATATACCGGGAAAGATTTTTGGGTGGGGGCGGTTGTGGTTGAATCAAGTTAAAATGAAAGAACTCAACTGAAATATTACAAAATAAATTTTAAATTGAAGGTCAACTTTTTAAAAACCATATAATCTTATCTACTGACCGCTCAAGAACGGATTTCCCTTCCTTGTACTTTTGGCTCTTTTCATGGGCAGCCTCCTGAAATCAATCATCCCACTAACTAACAGCAACAATAAAGGAATATATACATAATATGTATTGATTTATTTATATAGAAGATTAATGTAGAATATCTGCCTCCTGATCTTACATATGTCCATCCTACAATTGATCCGCACCCAACACAGAAAACGTCAGCAACTGTGTGCATTCCAGTTATCATCATTCTCTCTTCTTTCTCTCCAATAGTGACATTCACTCTGTCAAAAATGGAAGGCAAGTATAGATTATAAGATGATCTGAAGTTGCAAATATGAACTCAGCACTCGGCAGTGACTAATCAAGTGTAAAAGAGACATAATTGGGCATGCCAATAAAATCAATCCTTGAATATCCTACTCCACATTTAGCTTAATTGCCCAATTTTGATACCTGCAGTTACAGAATTACATTTCGCTATCCTGTTCCAATCAGACAAATCTGAAGATACAGCAATTGGAAAATGGGACTGAAAGAATTAAGGCTTTGAGACAACAATGCTAATTCATTTTTTTTTTTTTTCCCAGTAAATAATGGCTACTTCCTTGTTGCATAGAAACAATGTTTCAATACTAAAAAAGAATTTCACACGCTTCAAAGTTCGAAGAAACAACAGATAAGTGCGCCTTGGTGCATATAGAACAAAAGCAAGCCAAACAAGCAACTTAAAAGTGTTTATCTTCATTTGGAACTATGAGGTGCAAGCAAAAAAAAAAAAAAGAAAAAAAAGATCGGCAGGTGTGGTAATTGTGCTCAATTATATTTCACAAAAGCAATATATCCACCCCCAAGGAAATACAATAAATAATATAGCTGAGGTGATGAGAGAAATTTAAATTGAAACTGACCTAAGGAGCTTATAACATTATATGTGGTCATGATGAGCGTCTTTGAAGATATTGGACTATGCAGAACAAGTTTAAGCTAGTGAAAGAGTTAAACTTTCATGTACGTCAAGCATTTGAAAAGGTAAATTAGGTTACAAATAGCCTTCAACAAACTATAAACATCATCCTAGGGACAAGAATCCATTTCAATCCTTAGGTTGATAGACAAGGAAGTTTTCCAAATGCAATTTACTCTCCTACCTTTTTTAGAATTTCTCTCTCTATACTGCAGCCCAGTTGGGCTGCTTAGTTTTTTCTTTTCTTCCTCCCCAGACTGGAGAGAGGCTTTTACATTGCACTGTCACACATGGATATTTTCCTTATAGTAAATGTACGGAAGGATCCAACATGGAAAAGGTAGTATCTTCCCGCATTACCAACACCACACCATCTCTGGGAAAAAGGAAGGAAAGAAAGAGAAGAGAAGAGAAGAGAAGAAAAAAAAAAAAAAAAAAAAAGCACTCAACAATAGCGAAATGAAGAAGCCAGAAGAAAGAAAGGTGTATAAATAATAAATTTTTTGTTGTTCATATAACAAAAATTGCATCTCATGGCTCCATAAATCTTGAGATTTTGTTAAATACAAAGTTGTGCCCAGAGAATTTTGGTTCGTGTAGTAACGGGGTGCCCAAAAACAAGAAAAACTTACACCTTATTGAAGAGGTAAGCCTTCCCATGCCTGCAGTGGAAAGACTGAATAGAAGAACAGAGGCAAAACATGTAGTCAGAAAATTTGCTTTGCATAAAATTCCAACTAATTATAGATTTGACTTCAAATATTTAAATAAATTAAAAAAATTAAAAGTAACTAAATGTGACACGGATATGTTTAGCTATCAAGGAAATATAGTAATTTTGTTTAAGCCCCAAGAGGATTATTTGAAATTGCCCAGAGTACAGCACTCCGCCTTTTCCACTCTGTTTAGGACCACGTCTTCTCCTATATTAACATACTAGCTATTTGTAAACATATATATAGATATATAAACACATACGCATATATAAAGTTATATATACAAAGCCATGTATGCGCATCCATAAATTCTTGCTTCTGCATACTTACGAAGGTCAAATAATTATTTTCAACAAACTGTAGAAGTGAAAAGGTCATTTAAATCAGGTTTAGTAAATTGAGCTAGACAGATTGGCCTGCCAAAGTAAAGAAACATTTGAAAGCAAAGATCCACCATATATTCTTGAGAGAGCATTAGCTTTACATTAAGGAGCAGTAGATCCATCAGAAACAGTCTATTGAGTTGCTTGCATATATATTAAGTATGCAATGTTTGGAGTAAAAGCGCTAGGTAAATGGAATGAAATTTCTAAAACCCAAGCTTTTCAAAATCATCAGCCACACTGATTAATGACTTTCTGGAAAGATCTATTAAAAACTTATTAATGGGACACTCCAAAAAGATCTACTAAAAACTTGTTAGTGGGAAAGGCACCAATCAGGAAGAAAGAAGTCACATTAATTCAAGGTTTTAAACATTCCCAATATCCTAATCCATCAAATGTTTCATTTCCAATTAAACTAGAACTTAGAAGAAAGTATGAAATGTTAATACTTTGTATAGGTCCAGGGGAATGTATGTAAAATTAAGTACTTGGAAAATTCCCAACCAAGAAATTAGGGACTTAATTCATTAAGTTTCAAGCTATTTAACTTGCAACAGGAACCTCCTCTAAATCCTAGTGAAATGCAACTTTTTATTTAGAATATCAATAAAATTATATAACTCAATTACCAAGCATAAGTATCTATGAAGAAATATATATGTTGAGACAAATGTTTAAAGAACATCACTCCAATAAATGGAGACCCAGTAAACAGCAACTAACACAAAATAACTCGACACATCCTGACTAATCCCGGTTCCTTCACAAATCCAGATTGGCCACCATGCTCCACCAAAGGCCATCAAATAATTTCTCGCTGGAGGAGCACAATAACATCCTCCTTCCATTCACAGTTGGAGTAGAGAAAATATGCGAAGTTGTGGCCCGAATTTTGTTTTGGCCTGAGTCGTGTTTCCTTTTGCAATTCATGGACCCGATTCTAGAACTCTTTTGTGGCCCAGCATTTAGGGTTTAGGGTGTGTTCAGAGAGAACACTAATAGTTGCAGATTAGAGAGTGTTAGAGAGAGGGGTTTGGGGGCTGAAATTCGTAATTCGCTTAGTAAAATCTAGGTCCGGTAGATTTTACACAAAATCATGTAAATCTTTGTGTTCTTTGTGGGTAGCATGTTTACTTTTCTGTGGATTTCTTGATTGTGTTATGGCAGTATTTGTCACAACAAAATAGAATCTAATCATTCAACTGACATCCTAAACCTGGTAGAAATATCACTGCAACCCAAGCCCACTACAATTGATTAACAAGATTGGCCTTCAAAGGACAAAAGCCCTAATGGGTCTTACCAATCCCTCGTTTATTAAGGTGACAAGAGCTGGAATCATCCAATAAAGCATCATAAACTCTTTCTTTATCAGCTTGCTATCAAACTGATGCAATTTTAGAGAAACCCAATCAATAGATTTGCATTTAATTCCTCATCTCTTACAAACAAGTCCTCTATTGAATATCTAAAAATTACAAAAACATCATATTTCAGAACAATCAATTACTAACACGAAAAAACAAATCCACAATTTGACAAACAAAGACCACATAAAATGGGGAAAAGAATTCACTAGATTGAAAGAACTGATCGATCAGAGGTTGAGAAGAGAAGGAGAAACCTTGGAGACGATATCTTCACTGAGAGCAAGATGGGTTCGGCAGTACTTGCAGCTGTAGATCTTGCCTTCAAGAGTGACCACAAATAGCCTGCCCATTTGTCCCCCTTTCTCTCTCTCTCTCTCTCTCTCTAAAAACTCTCCCCTCTCTCTCTCTCTCTATAAACCTTACCTTACTTTACTTTACTTTACTTCCCCTTCAACGCAAACACAAAATCTGTTAAAATGAAGTTAATTCATGAAAAGGGTACAAAGAAGATGGATCAATAATGTACATAATCAATCATATAGTATAAGATTCGAAGGGTCGAGGATGGTGAAGCGTTTGTATTGTACGTGAAGAAATAGACAAAAGTGAACAAAATAAAGAATGCGTGTAGAAAGAGAGAGGATAAAAGATTGAATAATGAGGAAGTTAGCTCCTGAATAACCCAAGTTGAAAGAAACAGAGAATCGATATATCAGGCACCATATCAACATAATACGGTGTTAAATTCGCAATGAACAATGCTTGCTCCCTGCTGAGGTGGCCATCTAATATTCTGATACATGTCCCCAACAAAAAATTGATGTTAATATGTGCAATACACATTTTTTATGGGTTAAACCCATTTCTCCTTATCACTCTCTTCTCTCTCTCAATACCTAATCTATCTGCCGCCGCAACAAACCCATTTTCATCTGCACATTCATCAACATCTTTCAACCAGTCAGGTGAAGTAACCTTCAAGCTGTTCTTCTCCACCACAAATCTACCCACAATAAACAAACCGAACACACACCAAAGCTCCAAGTTTAGTACCCATCATCTTTTTTCTCTCAACTGACTGAAAGAAAATGACCCAGGTCAGAAAATAAAAAATCAAATCCAACGTCTTTTTCTCTGGAAACCCAGCAATTCTAAACTAGGATGATCATATATATATATATATATATATATATATAAAGATCAAATTTTTGCTCCTTATCTTTTCTGGGTTTTTAGCTGAATTTGAACAGGGTTAAAAGGAAAGAGTTTTGGGTGTTTGGAAGAAAAGAATCTACGAGGAAAAGAAAAGCTGGTTGAAGAATTGTAAATAGACTATAGACGCGTTTATTACCAAGCATAGACTTTGAACTGATTTGGGTCGTCTTCGATAGAGTTAGTTATGGATTGAGATTGGGATTGAGGCAGCGACGAAGACAACGGCAGCGCGACAGGAGGAGGAGGAGGAGGAGGAATAATAGGATGATATTGAGGTTGAGGGGGAATTGGGATAGTATTTTCTAGTTTTTTGAAGGAATTGGGTTCTGTAATTTAGGGCATTGAAATGGGAATGGTGTTGCTGCCTCTGCCGTCGGTGGTGGTGATGCTGCCGCCCTTTGATGGTGGTGCTACTGCGGCGGCCGGTTGTGGGTAGGTAGATCCAGAAGCAGGAAACAAGGAGAGAGAGAGCGAGTTGTGACCACAGTGTTCTTGCTGTTCATTTTTCAATCATTCCTTTATAGGTCAGAAATTTCTTAATTTCCTAGAATCATCTAAATTTGATTACTCAATTCAAAATTCTTGCAATCTACAACCTTCTTCCATCGTTTTATAAACAAGTCCGGATCTTAGAGAAGATGGAAACAAGGAAAGAGATTAAGAGTGCGCTAGAGAGAGAGTTGAATGAGTATTCTTGCCGTTCATATTTGGACAACTACAAAATTTGTTTGTTCCAAATGGGTTTATTGGGGGCGGCAGTTAGGTAAGTATTGAAAGAGAAAAGATAGTGACGAGGAGAAAAGGGTTTAACCCGTAAAAAATGGGCATTGCCCATATTAATATTATTTTTTATTATTAACAGGTGTCATAATATTAGGTAGCCACGTCAGCAGGGAGATGCTTCAACCTCCCTGCGGAGATGTAAGCATTGCTCCAATCAAAATGACTACTCTGTAACAACATGTTACATTAAAAAAATAATAATAAATAAATAACAATCTGTACTTTTGCATAAGGGCAAATTCTAGATAGCACCAACGACACTTATATAAAAATATACGCCATATATTTAGAAGTGGAGTTAGGATTTGAAAATAGGGAACTAAAGAAAAAATTAAAAAATTTCAAGCAGGGAAAATAAAAATCAAAAAATAATATTATATCATTCCAAACACCTTAGTCTTCTTCAATCTTTTAGTTCTAATTTGTTTTTAGGCTTATTTTTTTTAGGATGGATCATTTATCATTTATATTATATTATGGCTGGCTATGGCTATGGCTAATAAAAATTGGTAGTTCTAATTTTATTTATTTTTTTTTGGACATGGGTTATAGCACATGTTAGCCCACAGGGAGCTCCGCCCTGCATATATTGGTCAACCATCCTTGTGGTTTCTTGAGTGATGCTTCAAATCAGTGTATGGTAACTATATTTTTGGACAAAAATAACCTTGTTATTGTGAGAAGACCAAATTGTCCATTAATTGAATTGAAATTACATCACTCCAAAAGGACAAAAGTATAGAGATAATATTGATTTTTTTTATATGTAAACCTTAAAATGATCAATTGAAATGTGACAAATAAACAAATAAACATGATCTAGGGTAAATATGATTTATTGAAATCTAAAATGACAAATAAATCATAAAAAAATGAGGGGAATATAAGAGGGGTAAAACAATAAGTTACACTCACTCATTCCCTTCCAGAATTTTCTTTTAAACAATGGTTATATGCATTAAGGTCATATAAGTAAATTTATCTTTATCTCCAAAAGTCAACTAGTCAATTTAGACTTTGCTGTTAATTGTTGGCGCATACTTCTATCTAGGTACACTAGATGAAAATTTCGTGGGTGCTATATGTAATTTGCCCTTTACAACATCGTTTCATCAATATATATATATATATATATATTTAAAAAGGTTCAGTTCAAATTCCCTCTCAATTACAGTTTTCAATGACGACACTTAATATAGGATAGAGTGAGTATATTTTTTTGACCTATTTTTACTCTACATTATGTCATAATAATTGTTGAATTAAATGTCAATAGGAATCACCCACCCGTTCGGCAACGGTCAAAGCTATTTTAAACCAAGATTTAATCTATAAACAAAAATGGAAAAAATCTCCATTAAGAAAAATAAAATTTGATTTTAACTTATGAGTCAAATAAGCACATTATGACATAAGTGCTTTAAGAGGAGCTCTTGAAACTAAAAAAAAACTTCTATCAATTCGTAAACTTTTCCAAAAAGAAAAATAATGATAAATAATTTTGATTCTAAGAAAATCTCTTTAATGAGCATCTTAATCTATAAAGAAAAAAGGAAAAAATCTCCATTAAGACTTCGTTTGTTTAGACGTAAAATATTTTTTTTATTTTATGGTGTTTGGTTGTTGTAAAATATTTACGAAGAAAAAAATATTAAAATTTAACAAAAATAATTTATCCATAAATTTTCGACAAATTATTTTATATGTTTCGCCCGATGGACTTAACTTCAACCTTGACGTAAACTTTTGTCAAATAAAAAATAAAAGAATATTTTACCTGAAAAATATATATTTTTTTTAAAAAATTCTTTATATTGAAACAAACGGAGACTAAGAAAATAATTTTTTATTTTAACTTATGACTCAAATAAGCACATTGTGACATATGTGCTTTAAGAGGAGCTCTCGAAACTAAAAAAAACTTCTATCAATTCATAAACTTTTCCAAAAAGAAAAATAATGATAAATAATTTAATAATTTTGTTTCTAAGAAAATCTCTTTAATGAGCATTTTCTACTCAATGCATGCGAATATGAAGAATTAATACAATGACAGAAACTTTGAATGAGATCGCCCAAGCTTCCTTTTTTTACGACTGACTGTTGGGTGTGGATTATTATATTATTAACAATTATAAAAGTTAGTTATATGAAAATAAATATTTTTATAATTGAATTTTTATAAAATAATTTTTAAAAAATTGAATCAAATAGAAGACTGTTTGTACAATTTTTTGATTTTTAATTATTTGAAAATAGAAAATTGTTTTATGAGTGATAAATCAAATAGAAGTGTATGACATATATACTTTAAGAGTTGCTCTTAAAACTAAAAAAAAACATTTTTTTTCAATTTATAAACTTTAGAATAATGATAAATTAATAAATAAATTTGATTTTCTACTCAAGTCAGTGCATGCCAATATGAAAAATTAATGCAATGACAGACAATTTGAATGGGATGGCACGAGTTTCCTTTTTTATGGATAATGGTTAGGTGTGATTATATTATCAAGGCAAACTGAAGTGCTCAATCCTGGCTCAACATTGCTTGTTACATTTGTTTTACATATAAATTAGTGGAGGCTGTTAATCAAGGTCAAAGAAGATTTGTTAATTTATTGAGACGGAATTTCCGTTACAATGCGAGTTCAATGTGAGTAGTATTATAATGGACAATCACACGTGTAAGTAATTGTGACCGTTCAATACACCGTGATCGTTTAATGTTATATAATATAGTGTTATTACAATGCAATGTTATAAGGTTTTTTAATAAAATTAAATCAAATTTTAACACATTATATTTATCTATTTCAAATCAGATTTAATATGTTAAAAATTTACTGTGTTGAAAAATAAAATTAACGTGTTGAAAAACAGAAAAAATTTGCTTACATGAATTGTATATTTGTGATAATGACATATTACTTAAAATATCATTACATCATTATTAGCTTAACTGATATAATCTCTAGTGTCTCAAAGAAAAAATGAGGTGTTTGAGGCTTTGAGCTTTGTGAGTGTGTCCATAAGTATTTTACCTGAAAAAAAAAAAAATAAAAAAAATAAAAAAATAAAAAGATACTTGTTGCTTTAAATATTCACTCCTATGTACTGATTGGGCTTGAATTGTTAGGTTGAGACATGGGCTTTATATGATGTTTTATTTTTGTTTCAATGACCCATGGGCCTGTGGGATTGTTCCATGACATGTTTGGAAAGATGACGTTGCTAAGTCGTAAAAAAAAAGAAAAAAAAAAAGGGTCAAATTATATGATGAAGTAGAAAAAGTGACGTTAACAAGGTAAAAGGGGATGGTGTCACGGATCACCGTCCTCCGAAGGCTTTGGAGTTTGCTACGGGACTAAGTTTTGCATTGGGAAAGAGAGAATGCATACTTGTGTATGGGATGGTGAGTGCAAATTTTCAGTTGATTTTCTTTTTTATTTTATTAGGTTAATATTCACACACTGACACAAATGTGCACTGTGAGACTCGAACCCCTCACTTCACCCACTGTGGGAGCTTAATTGCAACTGGTAGATGTTTGGCATGTGATGAATTGTGAATCTTGAAAATTTTCTAGTCTGCATATAATGGACCGTACGTTTAATTTAGGTGGATAAATATTTTGTTTGTTATTGTAAAACATGTATGCTTAATTGGGTATTTAATCCAATTGTGGAAACCCCAACCCCAATTTCTGGCATTTAATCTTATCCTTGAATCACCCTTTAGAATGAAGACTCTCAATGATTTAGCATTAGATGGGATTTACTTAAAGAATAGTTTTTGCACTTAATTTCACCAGATACCCATATAATAATATACTAGGGAGTAATATGTTTGTAAAACATGCCCAACCCCAATTTCTGGAATTTAATTTTATCCCTGAATGATCCATTAGAATGAATGCGCTCAATGATTTAGCATCAAGGGAAATTACTTAAAATAGTGCAGTACAAGTATTTGGAGTAACATCAGTGTTTTTAGTGTCTCATACTAGCCACTCATAAATTATCAATGGTTAGGTTTGTTTCGTATCTGCCCTGCGAAGGACCTGCTTTAGTGGGATCAGAATTGGGTAAGGTCCCTTTTATTTGGAGCAACATAATGTCACAAGGGTTAAATGCACAACCATTGCAGATTATCATAAATACTCTACAATATCTTTATATTATAGCTTTTTCTGTGTATCTAATAATAGTTTGCTTATAGACAATTCTCAAACTACCTCTCCCTTTGAATCTCATTAAGGGGGTCTATTTATTTGTACCAATAAAGTATAAGTGATACTACCTCAGATGATACCTATATAATATGTTCATAATCAAATTAAAAACTCAAAAATATAAACTTAAATTAGACAACACTAATATGAAAAGAGATGGATGCACTATATCTGCTATTGCCTTTTGTATGACTTTCTGCACATTGAAATTCTTTCATTATCATTTGAGTGGGTGGATGATAATTATAATTCCCTATTATAATATATTCAATTTATAAGATAGATATTATTGACTTTTCAACAAGATGCATACAAAATAAAGAGATGACCATTGACATGAAACCCATGAAAGCCAAGTGAGTCATTTTCTGACATAAAAAAAAGAGAGGCCTTTGCTGCTTATGGCTAATTTGTTTGTTTAATAGCTCTGCAGGATATTTATTCTCTACAGTTAGTGATTAAGATGCTCAATAGTTTTCAAGAAATTCATAGACCGTAAATGCTAAGCACAGTCACAAATGACGGGACACATACCAAATTGAGCTATGATTCAACTTCCTCTCCCACTTTGGGCACCATAGTCCATCTTGCCGTCAGACTTTATACTGTTAGATTGTCAAAGAATCCAAGAGTGATGATACTTTCAGATTTCAATGTTGTACAACTAATGAATTCATGTCCTCTGCTTTCTTTGAAACTGGATTACTTATCTGGCTCGCCACTAACACTGTGCCACGAGACTGCCATAATCTAAATTCGAAAACAATAAAACCATATTAGACTAAAATTAGTTGACTATTTTTAGCTACGGACACACACAGATATGTCCAAGGTCATCACTGTCAACTTGTTCATATCACGATCATTTGGAGGTCTAATATGAATTCATTTTGTAGGAGACGTGATGTGAATTCATTTGGTCCAGGCACGTGGATGTTAAAAAAACCATTCATTATTAGTGAGGGGAATGTAGTTGATTTGGATGCATTAAGAGGCAGCTCATTTTTCTTGTCTATATATTGTTTATTGTTCAAATGATTCTAAAAACACATAGCCTTTAGTATCTTACTTTTGATTCCTGAATCCTTAATTGAAACCTACAATAGAGCAAAAAATAAATTCTTCAAGTTAAATGGGGCTTCCAGGCTTGTGCCTGAGCATATTATGGTCACTTCACAATGTTCACATTCATTTTACCCTTGTATGCTGCTTAAGCATGCTGATTTCAGGCTTTCGTGCCACTTTAGCTGCCTCCAGTCTAATAGGGCCTGACACGGATCGACTTTCATTGCTTGCCCTGAAGGCAAAAATAGTTGAGGATCCTCTCCAGGCTATGACCTCCTGGAATGAATCAATCCACTTCTGCCAGTGGCAAGGTGTTACATGTGGTCACCTCCATCAGAGGGTCACCGCATTAGACCTACAGTCCCAGAAACTGGTAGGGTCCATATCACCATACATTGGTAATCTGAGCTTTCTAAGAGTATTACAGCTCCAGAGCAATAGCTTCAGTCATGAGATTCCCCCAGAAATTGGCCGTTTGCAAAGATTGCAGAATTTGAGCCTGAACGATAACTCAATTGGTGGAAAAATTCCTGCCAATATATCTGGGTGCTCTAACCTCATTTTCTTGAATATTTCTTACAACAAACTTGCAGGAGAAGTTCCTGTAGAGTTTGGCTCCTTGTCAAAGCTCCGGACTGTAATTATTCATGATAACAGTTTGACAGGAAGCCTCTCTCCTTTTGGGAATTTATCATCTCTTGAATCACTTTCTGCAGCAGAAAACAAATTTTCTGGGACTATTCCTGACAGCTTGGGACAATTGAAAAATCTTCAATATCTTGCACTTGGTATAAATAGGTTGTCTGGTACCATCCCTCCTTCAATCTTCAATTTCTCTTCTATTACAATGCTTGATGTGACTACTAACCAAATCCAGGGGAGCCTTCCTAGGGACTTGGGCATCACACTTCCAAATCTCCAGTCCCTCAATATTGGTGATAACCTGTTTACCGGATCCATTCCAGCTTCAATATCGAATGCGTCAGATCTCCAATCCCTCATATTGGTGCAAAACAATCTTACTGGTAAAGTTCCTAATTTGGACAAGCTGCATAAACTTGAGTGGTTAAGCATTTCAGACAACCATCTAGGAAGTGGTGAAGCTGATGACTTGAGCTTTCTTTCTTCTTTGATCAATGCCACAAATTTGCAGGTATTGGCTGTGAATATGAACAATTTTGGAGGGATGTTGCCAGATTCAATTGGTAATCTCTCAGCCGGAATTTCAGTATTATATGTAGATAACAATCTGATATATGGAAGCATCCCAGCTGGGATAGGGAATATTGTCAACTTGGAGAGTTTATATATGCAGGTTAACCAATTCACAGGTAACATTCCTCCTGATATTGGAAAGCTTCAAAAGCTACAAGAATTGAATCTCATCAAGAACAGATTATCAGGAAACATCCCGTCCTCCCTAGGAAATCTGAGTTTGTTAAACAGACTCATTTTAGGACGTAATAATCTGGAGGGCAGCATCCCTCCAAGTCTGGGGAACTGCAAAAATTTGAAGTTGTTGTTTCTTGCTGAAAACAACCTTAGTGGTACCATACCCCAGCAAGTTATAGGTCTCTCATCCTTGTCTATATCTGTAAACCTATATCAAAATCAATTGACTGGTTCCCTGCCCATGGCAGTTGGGAATTTGAGAAATCTCGGCAAATTGGATATTTCTGACAATATGCTATCCGGTGAAATTCCTTCCACTATTGGTAGCTGTGTAAGTCTGGAAACTCTATCTATGAGGGGCAACTTTTTCAGAGGGACTATTCCTTCTTTGACTTCTTTGAGAGGTATGCAAGTGTTAGATCTTTCGCATAACAATTTGTCTGGCGAAATTCCAAAGTACTTGGAGGGCTTTGAAGGTTTACAAAGTTTGAATCTATCTTTCAATGATTTTGAGGGTGCAGTACCAGAACAGGGCATATTTAATAATGCAAGTGCAATATTGGTTGCGGGGAACAGTAAGCTTTGTGGTGGTTTACCTGAATTACAGCTGCCTGAATGCAACTTCAAAGGATCTAAAAAGAAGAGATCGACTCTTACCACAAAACTAGCAATCTCTCTATCTTGTGCGCTTGTAGGACTAACTTCCATTGTGTGTTTTTTGTATATTTGTTGGGTTAGAAGGGCGAAAAACAGAAATAATCCTTCTTCAGGATCATTAGAAAATTCGCTCTTTACAGTGTCCTATCGAAGTCTCGTGAAAGCTACTGATGGGTTCTCTCCAACCAATTTAATTGGTGTGGGCAGTTTTGGGTCCGTGTACAAAGGAACTCTTGAACATGATGGAACAATCATAGCTGTGAAGGTATTTAACCTTTTGCGTCGAGGAGCTTCCAAGAGTTTCATAGCAGAGTGCGAGGCCTTGAAGAACATCAGACATCGGAATCTTGTCAAGGTGCTAACTGCTTGTTCAGGAACAGATTTTCAAGGAAATGATTTCAAGGCCTTGGTTTATGAGTTCATGGTTAATGGAAGTCTCGAGGAGTGGTTGCATCCAAACCAAAGAGAAGGTCCGGAAATTGATGAGCCTAGGAAGTTAAACCTTCTTCAGAGATTAAATATTGCCATTGATGTTGCTTGTGCATTGGATTATCTTCACAATCAGTGTCAAACACCAATAGTACACTGCGATCTCAAGCCGAGCAATGTTCTTCTGGACACTGAAATGACCGGGCACGTTGGTGACTTTGGGTTAGCAAGATTCCTTCCAGAAGCCATCCATAGCTTCTCCACAAGCTCTATTGGAGTGAGGGGAACTATTGGTTATACTGCTCCTGGTAAAAACGCTTTCAATCATTCTTCATCATTTTATTATCCTTCTGCTTTTTCTTCCATTCTGTTTGGAGTATTCTTTATGGATTTGCCAATTAAGTTCTGGTTAAAAACTTGTGACAATATACACAAGCAGACACATTTCCACCCATATAATTCCTATTGTTGGTTGTCTGGTTGTTCAGGATAATTTTTTCACGTAGAGAAAAGGGAAAAAACAAAGGAACTGACCATAGATCAAACAATGATTTAAAAATGAGATGGATGTTTCCTTATTATATAATGCATCTAATAGTTTAAAGTTGCACCAATTGCTTGCTTGAAACAAAATAAGTTTGTATGTTGTTGGCTACTATATAGATTGCATTCCTAATGTCATGATTAGATTATACAGTTGTATGCAGAAGATTTTTCTTTCTGCAACAGCTTTGAGATTGAGCTCCTCCACAATTTTGTCACAATTTTTGCTGTTTGCATTGCAGAGTATGGTATGGGAAGTGAGGTGTCGATATCTGGTGATGTATACAGCTTTGGCATCCTCCTGCTGGAAATGTTCACCGGAAAGAGACCCACCGATGACTTTTTCCAAGATAGTTTAAACCTTCATACCTTTGTAAAAGCAGATTTGCACGACAGACTGTCTGAGATCGCAGATCCATTTCTGCTTCAGGAAAGAGGAGAAGAGGAGATGAGCACGGAAAGTAGAAAACGCCAAAAGGATCAGGAGTGCTTGATTGCCATATTTGAAATCGGAGTTTCTTGTTCTGCAGAATTCCCAAGAGGACGAATGAAAATTAATGATGTTGCAGCTGAATTGCATTCCATCAGGGACAATCTTCTTGGAACTTGTATACATGGAAAGAGATGAATTATGTTATAGAGGTAATATTTTTGTATTTATGACCAGTTCGTGTATAAACTTGTATATAGTTTGTAATCTCAACATATCTGCACCGGATCAGCAAATTCTGTGTTCCACGTCAGGTGAAAACTTTTCTTATTATTAGTATTTTAAATTTGATAAATAGAATAGGTTTTTTTTTTTTTTTTGGAAATTGAATAAACTTGTTATCTTCTATAGATAATTTGGAAGGAGCCCATTGCATACTGTTTCTTTTGGTGATCTCCTCGTAATACTGCCATTTTTTTTCCCCAGTTGTTACATTTGTTTTAGATCTAAATTAGTATTGGAGGCTGTTAATGAAGGTCAAAGAAGATTAGTTACTCTATAGATACAAGATCCTCTAGACTACAAAGCATGTTGTACTGTAATGGCCAATCACACGTACGAGTGATTGTAACTGTTCAATGCACTGTGACCATTCAATGTTGTACAGGATGATGCTGTTCAATACAATTAAATTAATTCTCAACACATTAAATTTATATATTTCAAATCAGATTTAATATGTTAAAAATTTACTGTGTTGAAAAACAGAATGCATGTGTTAAAAAACAAAATTAATATGCTTATGTGAATCCAAATATTTGTGATAATGACATGTTACTTGAAATATCAGTACGTCATTAGCTCAACTGGTATTATTTCTTGTTTCTCAAAGGAAAAAATTAAGGAGTTTGAGCACTACAAAGAATATTTGTGAGTTTGTCCGTAAGTCTATCTGAAAAAATAAATAATAAAAAGGGGAGACAAGTAGCTTTAAATTCCTCCTATGTACTTATTGGGCTTGAATTGTTAGGTTGAGACATGGGCTTTACATGATTTGTTTTGTCTCGATGATCCATGGGCCTGTGGGATTGTTCCGTAACGTGTTTGGAAAGATGGTGTTTAAGTCGTTAAAAAAATAAAATAATAATAAATAAAAAAATGGGTATAATTAGATGATAAAGAAGAAAAAATGAGGTTAACAAAGTAAAAGGGATGGTGGGTCACCGTCCTCCGAAGGCTTTGGACTTTGCTACGGGAGTAGGTTGCATTGGGAAAGCGAAATTGCATACTTGTGTATGGTGATAGTGAGTGCAAACTTTCAGATGATTTTCTTTTTTATTTTATTAGGTTAATATTCACACACACACACACACAAATATCTACTATGACTGTGACACTCGAACCCCTCACTTCCTCATTGAGGGAGCTTACTTGCAACTGGTAGATGTTTGCCGTGTGACGAATTGTGAATCTTGAAAATTTTCTACTCTGCATATGATGGACCATACATTTAATTTAGGTGGATAAATATTTTGTTTGTTATTGTAAAACATATATGCTTAATTGGGTATTTAATCCAATTGTGGAAAACCCAACCCCAATTTCTGGCATTTAATCTCATCTTAGAATGACCCATTAGAATGAACACTCAATGATTTAACATTAGAGGAAATTACAAAAAATAGTTTTTGTATTGAAGTTTTAAGTTTTTGGAGCAACATCAGTGCTTTTGGGCGTGAGTTCAACACCCATACCAACCACTTTGTGAATTATCAAATGTTAGACTTGTCTTGATTCCTCCCTTCGAAGGACCCTGCAGTAACGGGACCAGAATTGAGTAATGTCCCTACTCTCCCCTTTTATTTGGAGCCACATAATATGATTTCTTATACATAATTCTTGTATGATCTCTACCTTTGAATCTCATTAAGAGGGTCTATTTATTTATACCAGTAGAGTATAAATAATATAATATGGTTGTAAAACATGCCCAACCCCAATTTCTGGAATTTAATTTTATCCTTGAATGACTCATTAGAATGAATGCATGCTCAATGATTTAGCATCAGAGGAAATTAATTAAAATAATTTATGTACTGAAAAAGTACAAGTATGTGGAGCAACATCAGTGTTTTTGGTGTGAGTTCGATTCTCATACCAGTCACTTTATGAATTATCAAAGCTTAGGTTTGTCTCGAGTCCGCCCTTCGAAGGACCCTGCTATAGCGGGACCAGAACTGGGTAAGGTCCCTTTTATTTGGAGCAGCATAACGTCACAAGCATTAAACCCACAACCATTGTAGTTTATCTTAAACTCTCAAGAATGTGTTTATATTAAAGCTTTTTCTGAGTACCTAATAATATGTTTGTAATCCAATTAGAAACTTCAAAATATAAAATTAAATTATACAACACTAACAGAAATAGATAATGGGCACCCCATATCTGCTCCTGCCTTTTGTATGACTTTCTGCACTCTGAAATAATTTCATATCAGGATGATTCAAATCTCTTTTTTCAGTGTAGTTCAACCTACAAAACAGAGAAGAGAATTATAGATTGCCTATGATAATATATTCAATTTATAACATGTATATTATTGACCTTTCAACATGATACATACAAAATAAAGAGAAGACCTTTGACCTGTAACCTATGAAAGCCAAAGGAGTCATTTTTTGATATTAAAAAAACTAAAAAGGCCTTTGCTGCTTATGGCTACTTTATTTGTTTAATAGCCCTGCAAGACATTCTCTATAGTCGGTGATTAAGATGCTCTATAGTTTTCAAGTTTCAACCAATTCGATAGACCATAACTGCTAAGCACAGTCACGAATGACCCAAACTGTTGGATTATGTGGGCCCCTCTGTGGGACCTACCTGATTCAACGGCTGAGCTTAGCACAACTATTGACAGAAAGATGTTTGGGCTGAGGATAGATGGGGTCAATGAGCTATGATTAAACTTCATCTCCCACTTTGGGCATCATAGTCCATTTTGCCGTCAGACTTTATGCTGTTAGATTGTCAAAGAATCTAAGAGTGTGAATACTTTCAGCTTTTAATGTTGGGAGCTTATACAACTAATGAATTCAGGTCCTCTACTTTCTTTGAAACTGGGGTGCTTATCTGGCTCCCCATTGACACTGTGCCACAAGGTTGCTGCAATCTAAATTTGAAAACAATAAAATCATATTAAACTTAATTAGTTGACTATTTTTAGCTAACGACACACACAGATATATCAAAGATCATTGGTGGATCTAATGTGAAAGAAAACAACTTGTTCATATCACAATCATTGGGAGGTCTAATATGAATTCATTTTGTAGGAGACATGATGTGAATTCATTTGGTCCAGGCACATGAATGTTGAAATAACCATACATAAATGGTGAGGGGAATGTAGTTGATTTGGATGCATTAGGAGGCAGCTCATTTTTCTTGTCTATATATTGTTTATTGTTCAAAGGATTCTAAAAACACATAGCCTGTAAGATACACATAGCCTATAGTATCTTACTTTTGATTAGTTCCTGAATCCTTACCCGAAACCTACAATAGATCCAAAAAAAAAAAGGTTCTTCAAGTTAAATGGGGCTTACAGGCTTGTGCCTGAGCATATTAGGGTCACTTCACAGTGTTCACATTCATTTTATACTTGTACGCTGCTTAAGCATGCTGATTTCAGTTTTTCCTGCCACTTTAGCCGCCTCCAGTCTAATAGAGCCTGACACGGATCGACTTTCATTGCTTGCCCTGAAGGCAAAAATAGTTGAGGATCCTCTCCAGGCTATGACCTCCTGGAATGAATCAATCCACTTCTGCCAGTGGCAAGGTGTTACATGTGGTCACCGCCATCAGAGGGTCACCGCATTAGACCTACAGTCCCTGAAATTGGTAGGGTCCATATCACCACACATTGGTAATCTGAGCTTTCTAAGAGTATTACAGCTCCAGAGAAATAGCTTAAGTCATGAGATCCCCCCAGAAATTGGCTGTTTGCGAAGATTGCAGAATTTGAGCCTGAACGTGAACTCATTTGGTGGCAAAATTCCTGCCGACATATCTGGGTGCTCTAACCTCATTTTCTTGAATATTTCTTATAACCAACTTGTAGGAGAAGTTCCTATAGAGTTTGGCTCCATGTCAAAGCTCCGGACTGTAATTATCGGTCATAACAGTTTGACAGGAAGCCTCTCTCCTTTTGGGAATTTATCTTCTCTTGAAATCCTTTCTGCAACAGAAAACAAATTTTCTGGGACTATTCCCAACACTTTAGGACGATTGAAAAATCTCCAAAATTTGGAACTCGGTATAAATAGTTTGTCCGGTACCATCCCTCCTTCAATCTTCAACTGCTCTTCTATTACAACACTTGTTGTAACTACTAACCAAATCTACGGGAACCTTCCTAGGGACTTGGGCATCACTCTTCCAAATCTCCAGTTCCTCAACATTGGTGACAACCTGTTTACTGGATCCATTACAGCTTCAATATCGAATGCGTCAGATCTCCATTACCTCATATTGGTGTAAAACAATCTTACTGGTAAAGTTCCTAATTTGGACAAGCTGCATAAACTTGGGTGGTTAAGCATTTCATACAACCATCTAGGAAGTGGTGAAGCTGATGACTTGAGCTTTCTTTCCTCTTTGATCTATGCCACAAATTTGCAGGTATTGGCTGTAAATATGAACAATTTTGGAGGGATGTTGCCAGATTCAATTGGCAATCTCTCAACCGGAATTTCAGTATTATATGTAGATAACAATCAGATATATGGAAGCATCCCAACTGGGATAGGGAATATTGTCCACTTGGAGAGTTTATATATGCAGGTTAACCAATTCACAGGTAACATTCCTCCTGATATTGGAAAGCTTCAAAAGCTATAAGAATTTTTTGGTGCGAGTTTGAGTCTCAAAACAGTCACTTTATGAATATCAAAGATTAAGTTTATCTCGATTCTCGAGTCCTCCCTTTCAAGGAGCCGGGACCAGAATTGGGTAATGTGTCTTTTATTAACAACATAATGTCACAATCATGAACGCATAACCATTGAAATTTATAAAAAATACTCAACAATATCTTTATGTTATATGAATGCCTAATAATAGTTTGCTTGTAGACAATTCTTAAACGATGTCTCCCTTTGAATCTCATTAAGAGGGTCTTTTTTTTTTCGTACCAGTAAATTATTGTGATACTACCCCAGGTGATACCTAAATCATATACTATAATCCAATTAAAAACTCCAAAATATAAACTTAAATTATATCTGCTCCTGCCATTTGCATGACTCTCTGCACATTGAAATAATTTCGTATCATTTGAGTGGACGATTCAAATTTCTTTTTTTCAGAGTGCAGTGGTACCTACAAAACAGAGAAAAGAATTATAGGTTCCTTATGATAATAT